GGATTATATAAACTTACAATTTAAGGTTGAACGTAAATTCGAGATAATAATTGAATTAATTTACTTTTACAAATGTAGAAATTAATTGCCCGATCTCGTAATAAAAGAAATTAAAACATAAACGTTTAAATAATTGAGACAGAGACAATTTTTTTCTTTTTATATACGGTGATCTTATCATCACATGATCTGTATCACGAAGTAATGTGCTAAGATTCTACGTCTGCGAAACCTGAATTACTACTGTGTATTGTGTTAAATAATTTCAAGAAATCTAATCTTCTGATTCACTAAACTTTTTCAAAATTAAAATAACGTCTTCAGATCCATTTTTACGAGCCTTGTCTAATGGAGTATGTCCATCAGAATCTTTTAGCTTGGGATTAGCACCATATGATAATAAAAGATTAACCATCTCCGAATTATTGATTATAGCAGCACGGTGGAGTGGCTAATTAAAATTTAATAAATTGTAATATGCATTACTTAAGTGAAAATATGTCAATAGTTAATATTTTACAAATATCATACTCACAGTTGACGAGAGTTCTGGAGTTACAGCGTTTACATTTGCACCATGTTCCAGTAAAAGACGACATATCTCTAGATTACCACTTCGAGCTGCATAATGCTATATAAATGGTTAAAAATCAGAATTTAACAAATTTCATCGTTGCATTATAAAAAACACAAGAGATTATAAATAATATATATTTTTCAAATACCAAAGGAGTATATCCAGCAGTATCAATTTGATTCGTAATTGCGCTACCTTTCTTTGAAATAATTGACTTTACTTGTGAAATATTACCAATTAAAGATGCATTATGTATCGATCTTTGAAAATCTAATTCGTCTAAGTCTTGTGCATATAGTGAATGGTCGTGAGAACAAGATTTATCATGATGGTGATGCGAACTCATGATTAAAAATAATTATTGAACCCAATCATGTTATATAGGATTTACTCTGTGTCGGTGATACAAGCCAAAAAAGGAACGTTAATAATTAGATTCTATATATTTACTATCGTTATATTAACTTGACTAATTTATTTTGCTACGTAAACATAAATCTAATTTATTAATCTTTCTTAATTTTTTTTCGAATTAAATTTCTTTTTAAGTCTACATTCAAATTAAAACTATCATTCTCGATGTGATTAGCACTCAAGCAAAATTATATTTACATAAAAATTTGATGAATATGCAATTTATGACGTAATTGAAATTTTCTCAAGCATCATCTTCGATGTGATTAATTAGTGATCGTAATGGTGCTCATTTACTAGAATCAATTGAGATAAACATTGCGGTCAATATTTGAGCGGTTCTTTTATTATTCGTAAAATAAAAAAAAAATTAAAAAAATGAAAAATAACAAAGCGAAAAATAAAAAAAAACAAAAACGACCGTTAAACAAGAAGCAAATGCTGCGGATTATCGAAAATATTCTGGCGAAGCATCAACTTCAGCAGTCCCTGTTGCTCCGTTTACTGACGTTACCAATTATTGTTCATAAAAACGTTTATGCAAGAAGTAAAATAATAATTTGTTGCTGAATGTGATGACCCATGGATATTCATCTTAATGATAAACACGCTTGACTAATTTGAAATATTTTCCGCCAAATATATTTTATTTCCCGACATTTTTTGACCCATTGATTAAGGCGCTTGAGAACGCCCATAGTTTCTGCAAAGTTAATTTCAAAAAATATCAAGAATTGAATTCGAAATCTAATAACTATAGTAAATAGCAAAATATTTCCAATCTATATTCTAACGACGCAGAAATCAATATATATAAGTTAAAAATACAAAAACCATCGTTATTGACCCATTAAAAATAAAAAAAATTGTACTGTGACAATGCTATTGCATAATATCACGTTGAGCTTTTAATGCTTCAAAATGAAAATTAAACTGATTATTTATATGAAAATTAAACTGATTATTTATTATTTAGGCCATTTGAAGTTATAATTTCGTTTAATGTTTCTTTCGTAGATTTAGGTTGTTCTCAAGCAGCTCCCTCGATGTAATTTGCAAGTGATCGAGATGCTGCTCAATCATTTCGATTAATCGAAATTAATTGAAGTGATCCCTGTAACAATTTTGCCGAAAATTCATTGTGCGAAGTATGGATTTTAAATTTCAGCAAATCGGAGTAACTCTATGAAAAAAAAAGATGGTTGTTAGCTCAGGTTTTTTTGATCGAAATGATTAAACACGATTTATTTTTTCAGCCAATCGGATCACTTTATCGATCATTGGGGAGAGGCAAACATTATATAACATCTCAACAAATCTCTATTATTATTGGTTGGTTTATAGTCACATGTTTTATTTAAACTCAAAACGTAAGACATTCTGATTGGCTTGCTTAATTTTAGAGAAGCTTTGGAGGTGGTGGAAGGAGAATATTAAATGAAATTGTAACTTCAAATGGCTTATTTAAAATCTTCTTTTACTTTACAAGTTAGCCATTTTCATATTATTTTTTTTCTCGTCAAACTATGTAAACAAATTTTTTGTATTCGATTCTACATTATTATCTATTTTAAGTAAATATTTTTCTTATAACAAGCTTTTACAAATTTTTGTTCTTTCTAATCAATTTGTTTTTTTAGAAAAATGATTTTCAAGTGCATGTTGTATAGTAGCTTTAGATAAAGATGAGTTGATAATTTTTTACTTTGTTTTAAAACATTTATATTTAGTTTTCTGCAATTTGAATTTGTTATATTATTTATTTAAACTTACTCTTTTTATAGAATGATGCTTATAATTCCTAATTGTAGCAGTTTTTTGCTTTTGAACTGACAATAGCAATGAATTTAATGCTAATACTTCTATACTGTTAATATTAATTTTGATGTTTTTTTACTTTTTTTAATTTTTTTTAACTTTTCTAGTATATTAATCATCAACTTCTTTAACTTTAATATTAATTTTTTAACTTCAACTTGTTTTGGCTTGTTGTCTTTAATAACTCTACTTCTGTATCAACTAATATTAAATTATTACAGTGTGCGACACCTAAAGACTAAAATCACGTGAACTGTCCCATTTTGGATCCAAAAATTAAAATAGGCCAAAAAGTCAATTTACACATATTTCCCCAGTATCGCCAACAAAATTTTTACCATCACGTGATGTCTGACAAAATTCTTTAATTCGTAATTCGCGAGTAAAGAAAAGAATTTTATTAATGATCGGTGGGGTGCATATTATGTTAATCATAGTAAAAATTCGTCCAATTCGCTTTTGTTTCACTTTAATAATATCACGTTTAGCTTGTGTAACCACAGAAATAGTATATATAATAGACGATAAAAGTCATACGAATCTTTTTTACTAAGCCACCAAATCCTCTTTTTTTGTCCGCTTTCGCGTTATTACAAAATTGGTTCAAGATTATGGGTATGAAGATACTCAAATAGGTAATATAG